TGTCAGGCTGGGCTCTGCTGATCTCGCAGCCACCCCAGCAGCAGGCAGCTTCTCCAAGGGAAATTTGGGTGAAAAGCTGGCACTAAATAACCTCAAATCCATCGTGTTCTCCCTGAGCCATTGTGGGGCAGAAAGGAGTAAGATTAATAAGGAATTCTTTGCCAGAGCAGGCGTCCTCTCAGACTTGCATAGCAGAAAGGGCGGCCCTGGCATAGGCTCTGTGCTGAACATAAGCTTTGCTGGATGATAATGTGATTAACATTTGTAKCTGTGCTGGCTCAGATAAGGGTAATTAAATCTCACGCTTCAGGGCATAAGCTAATCACTTGTGGGGTCATTTTAGATATTATATATATATAAATTTGCCCCTCCATGAATAGACTTGCCCGGTTGCTGGGATGCAGGGTGTGCATCCCCTGCCAGGGATGGGTGGAGGGAGGAATCCCATGTCAGCTGGGGCTTGGAATGTGCAGTGGGAGTTGTTCAGCTGCAAAAAGGTCTCCAGAAGGGTTGTTGGGCAGAGTCTGTCCTCAAAGCCACGTCCTGTGGGARCAGAGTGCCAAGGGAGGAAGCCACAGCTGACTGAGCTGAGGAGGAGAAGCTGCTCCTTCACCCAGCGGTGTTGCTAACAGGAAAATGAAATGCATGTCAGCCACCAGCTGATCATTCCCTGCTGCAGGCCAAAATCCCCCTGCCAGCGTGGCTCTGGATTTCAGCATCTCAGCGAGGAGACAGCACCCCAGGGCTGGCAGAATTGTGCCGTGGAGCAGGATCTGGGAGCCATGGCCCAGTCCTGGCAGACCACAGCGCTCCAGCTGCTCCCCAGTGCCTGCACTGGGCTCTGCTGCTCCCCCAAACCCCATTTTGCTCTGGGATTCTGGTCCTYTTGGTGGCTGTGTGAGCTGCTGCCAGCAGTGCAGAGTGCAGCAATGCAGCCCAGTGCTGCACCACGCTCTGCTGTGTGACATTGGGTGTGTCAGCAAAGGTCACAGTCCCCGAAAACAGAGCTGGCTGGTGTGTCTGCTTTCAGGAGGATGGGAGAACAGTGGCACAGCAGGCTCTSACTGCCTGAGCCCTGCTCCTGTAGCTGAGCAGCCTCCAATTGCTGTCACCCCACAGCACCCCGAGCTGTGGGAGCTGCTGTCAGCTGTCTGTGTCACCCCAGGCAATGGGGCACTGTAGGACTCAGCTGAGGATACACCAAGTGTCCATCAAAGCCAGGAATTTGAACTCAGTTTACTCCAGGAGACTGTCTTCCTCCTCAGCCCACCCCACCAGTATCCGAGCTCGCTGAAGCCCTTGGCCATTTGACCTTTCCCAGCATCAGGCTCGTTTATATGGAATGAGTTCTCTCYGAGGCAGGCACGTGCTCTGGGTCGGATGCTGCTGGGAGAAGCTGCATTTTCTCGTGGAATGACTCAGTGTCTGCACAGAGCCTCGGGAGATGCTCAGATCCCCAGCAGGACAGTGCTGTGCTGGGTGTGCATCGCGCTGGACAGAGCAGTGTTCTCACTGCTCCAGCGAGTCCCAGGCAGCTGCTCCACTGATGATGAGATGCTGGAGGCACAGGAGGATGCTGTGGGGCTGGCAGGTTTGCCTGGCTTCCCACTGGAATAACCTTGTGAGCCCACACCTGGCCCTGCGCCCRTGCGGAGGTGCCGGCGGCTCGGCCRTGCCCCAGTTGGAGGCACGTGTGGCAGCACGTGCACAGGGATGCTGTGACATCCCTCCCCTCCTCCCTGTCCCTGCCCCTTGCACTGAGCCYGCTGGCTTTGATCAGAGCTTCCAGAGAGCACAAAAAGTCTGGCAGGAACTCTTTTGTGGCTCCATGGCGAGCAGCGTGCGAGGCACAGGGTTATTGAAAAGGTTATCCCGKGGAACAGGAGCTGCAGCCCTGTGGCGGCTGTGGATCTGTGGAATGCTGTGCCCTGGGCACACCCCGGCAGCAGTGTCCCCTGCCTGACTGTCCCCATCATCTGCTGTCCTGGTTTGCCATTTTGCACCTGCAGAAGCAGCGAGGACTCTGCACAGGGACTGTGCCCTGCCTGGATCATCTCCCTGCACAGCTTATGCTCCTCCCTGCCTTGGGGTGGCAGGGAGCAGGGGGATGAGGTGGGGAGAGCTGGAAGAGAAGCAGGAAGGGTTTGACAGCATAAATACATAATGGAAGAGCTGCAGGTCCTGCCTTGCACTGCTGCTCCCTCCCATGACAGAGGCAGGGTTGATGCACACGTGCTGATGTGTGTGCCCACTCTCAGCTCCCTCTTGCCCCTGGTGCATCCTTGGCCTTTCCAGTGTGGCACAGTTGAACAAATTGATTACAGGAGTGGYCCTGCAGAGTGTGGCTGTTGAGTGAATACCTTCTCATGGAGCAGCAGCTGCTGTGTGGGGGTCCCCTCATGCCTCAGCTTCTCCGTCCTGAGCTGCCCCACACAGGGACCACCAGCCCTGGGGCTGTCCTGTCTGTTATGTGGCACAACCAGTGACTTTGTCCTTTTGGGCATCCTCTCAGGGGTGGGATTTGGGGTCTGGACAGGCAGTGACTCTCCCAGTCCCTGTGCTCACCCCTGGTTGAGAGCACAGGGCTGACCCACAGGCAGGGGACAGTCCCCAAGCTCCAGGGTGGCAGGAGGGCTCAGTGCAGCTGCACCCCKCTTTCCCAGCGCAGCATCGCTCTCCTCCATGGCTGTGGGATTTGGCAGCGCTGATGTTTTCCCTTTTTTGCTGAGGCAGAGCAGCAGAGACACCAACACGCTTCTTCCCCTGTTCCCTGCCGACTCTCCTGATTCTGCAGCCCCGTTTCCCACCGCCCACACGGCTCCCAGCTCCGGCAGTAATTGCAGCTCCCCGTTTGGAATTGCTGTGACAGCACAGGGCTCAGAGCAGCAGAACGCCCCACCATGGGGATCCCGTGCCCAGCGGGATCGATCGGAGATTTGTGAGCAGGCTGTGAGTGAGAGGCTTTTCCCCTCAGACAAATGAAGAACTTTTTCTGCACCAAGGCGGTGCAGAAAGTGAAGCTCCTGAGACTCTGAAATGGGGGTGTAGCATGAGCTGCAGCCAGGGAATCATGGAATGGTTTGGGTTGGAAGGGACCTTAAAGATSATCTTGTTCCAACMTTCYTRCCATGGGCAGGGACACCTTCCACTGGACCAGGTTRTTCACAGACCCATCCAGCCTGGCCTTGAACACTTCCTGTGGCCCATTCGTGTGTCCCCACCTGCAGATGCTCATCCCTGTGCTCCTCGCCTGCCTCAGGGCCGGGACCATCCCCCGCCTGGTTGCACATGGCTCTGCCTTCCTGCTCACCTCTGGTGCAGGTTGCAGTGGCCCCATCCTGSCCCCAAAGCAGTGGCAGGACCCCAGGGAAGTGTTCCTCAAACTGGCTACACTGGGACCCATGGAGGTGGCCAGGGTGTCCCCACTTGCAGGATGACCATGGGATGATGGTGCATCCCCCAGGARCAGGCTCTGGGGGGTAGAACCAGGGAAGGTGAGCAAAATCAGCAGCTGTTTAAAGGAAAATCTCTTCCAAAAAATGCAGCTGGGGCAGGCGGTGCCAGCCTGAACCWCCCCCCAGCTCCTGGGGCTGACCTGATTTTGCAGGAACCTCCCTTTCTTCTGCTCTGCTGCCCTTTTGTCTCCACGCCCGGAGGATGCGAAGCCTCCTGGCCTATATTTTGGCTCTAAGATCAATATTTAAAATCCCCCCTCCTGTTTCCTCGGCGCAGGCGCGAGGCATTTCGCTTACCGGGGGAGGCTCGTCTCCCAGAGACCTGTCTGTTCACCATTTCAAATAATTTCCCTGCTACCGTTGTTCTAGAAACAATTCATTAGGGGCCTATTATACAATGTTATACCTGCCAAGGTTAGAAAAGATCCTGCATGTGTGGTAAAATTGCACTGTGAGCTGTACACGAGAGTGGGGTTTTTGTGTCTGTCTGTAAAAYGTACTTTTTATGCCTTTTTGGAGAGCGAGTCGCCGGGGGTGAAACTGGGGGGTGATGCTGCTGCCTGGGTGGGGAGCCCCAGCAGGGCTTGGTCACTGTCCAGACAGGTGTGGAAAGGGGCAGTTTTGGGGTTCAGCAGCCATTCCTCTCTCCTTGCCCCCTCTCCAGTGGCCCACTTTGAAAATCTGGGCCAAATCCAGCGGCCAGGTCCCCAGGCTGGGAGCAGCTCTGTCTTTCCAGAGCRCTAATGGAGCTGTGGTCCCCGGGGAACTCATTAAGCATCACCTCAGAGGGCTGCACAGCCAGGGCTGGCTGCTGGGGAGGCTGCAAACCCCATCCCCGGGTAGGRCTCTGCTCCAGGAGATGTCCCCCACCCCTGAGCCGCCTGTCCCCGTGCCACCARGGCGGCTCAGCCCCGCTGCCCGGCCGTGCCCTGCATCGTTGCTTTGCAGTTGTCTTTTTCTCTCTGCAGGGAGAATAACTTCATCAAGGATTTCCCCCAGCTGGCTGACGGCCTCCTGGTGATCCCRCTGCCCGTGGAGGAGCAGTGCCGTGGTGTCCTCTCAGAGCCCCTTCCTGACCTGCAGCTTCTCACRGGTACGAGCTGCCCCYGGGTTCTGTGTGCCTGGGGTGAGCRCAGGAGTRACAAACCCTTCTCCCACCTCRTGTGGYYCCTGAAGGGCATCCTCACCCTCGTTGTGCCACCCCTCGTTGTGTTCCTGGGCAGAAATGAKCTGAGGGATGTGCGAGTCCATCTCACAGCCACCCCAGTGCTGGTCCTGCCAGCAGTCTGTGACCCCACAGCGTCACCACCGAGGAGTTTCCATCCCTGCCACCATCCCATTGCTCACTCACACAGCACGGGGCAGGGTGGGAGCATGGAGCATCCCCGGGGTGTGGTCACCACTGGTCACTCACCAGCTCTTCCTCTGCAGGGGACATCAAGTACGACGAGGCCATGGGCTACCCCATGGTGCAGCACTGGCGGGTCAGGAGCAACCTGTACAGGGTGAAGCTCAGCTCCATCACCCTCTCTGCAGGTGAGGCATTGCAGGGGCAGGGAGGTGTGTGTCTGCATGGCTGGGTGGGGATTTTCTG